ACCATATATATATATATATATATATATATATATATATATATATACAATGTTAACCACAGCAGCCTTTTATTTATTTATTTACTCAAATTTTTATTGAAATTCTAGTTACTTAACATATAGTGTGGGGCGCCTGGGTGGCGCAGTCAGTTAAGCGTCCGACTTCGGCCAGGTCACGATCTCGCGGTCTGTGAGTTCGAGCCCCGCGTCAGGCTCTGGGCTGATGGCTCAGAGCCTGGAGCCTGTTTCCGATTCTGTGTCTCCCTCTCTCTCTGCCCCTCCCCTGTTCATGCTCTGTCTCTCTCTGTCCCAAAAATAAATAAACGTTGAAAAAAAAATAAAAAAATAAACATATAGTGTAACATTGCTTTCAGGAGTAGAGTTTAGTGATTCATCACTCACGTACAACACCTCTTGCTCAACACAAGTGCCCTCCTCGATACCCGTTAAGCCCATTCCCCCCACCAACCTCCCCTCCAGCAGCTCTCAGTTTGTCCTCTATGGTAGAGTCTCTTATGGTTTCTTTCTCTCTCTCTCTCTCTCTTTTTTCCCCCTTCCCATACGTTCATCTGCTTTGTTTCTTAAATTCCACATATGACACGCACGGGCGAGGGGCAGAGAGGGAGGCGGAAAGAAAGAGAATCCCAAGTGGGCTCCACGCTGTCAGGGCAGAGCCTGACGTGGGGCTCGAACCCATAAATCAAGAGATTAGGAGATCATGACCTGAGCTGAAGTTGGAGGCCTAACCCACTGAGCGACCCAGGCTCCCTACAGCAGTCTTTTAGAAGTTAGACCAAACGAGGACTTTGGCCGGGGGGGGGGGATTTAGAAATGGTTGGTTACTGTGCTAATAAAAACAAGACTGCCTTTTACTGGGTTCTATTGTTCTTATATTAAAATTCTCTGTGGAGAATTTTCCTTTATTGCCTGCAGGTGGGCAGACCACTCCTACTCTCCCAACCCATCGTAGGGCCCTCTTCTACTGCAACCTTCTAACAAGAAAATGGCCTAATTGTTCTTGGGTTTGTGGCCTCCAAGCACCATTATTTTAGTGGGGGGGGGGCTGTCGGTGACTCTCTATAGGGTGAGCCTTTTTGTCCTTCTGAAGGCCCTTAGTTGCTTACAGCGACAGTCATTGTAAGCACCACACATTAAACCCTCTTCCCATCTGGGTTCTGGTAATCTCGACTCTGACCCTGTGCCCCCTCTCTACCCCAAACACATGGAGAGCCACCAAAGTTCTTTTTCTTCCTGCCTGTGGGACAGAGTGTTGAGAAAATTTGTCTTGACCTCTCAGTCCTCACCCAGTCCTGATCCTCAACGTCTGGCTAACTGTGGGCCTGCCAGTCTGGCCCCCCCC